ATTTTCCCAGGCTCTTTCCTTCCACTTAAAGGCAAAATGCTGAGTTCCTTCAGTTCTCCCACCTACCCAGTGTGGATTCTGTGGCTCTGTTTATTCCTCCCACTTTCCAGTAGACTCAGGGAACATGACTAGGCTTGGATGTTTGCCACCCTGAGAGAAAAAAACTGGGGTTCTGGAGCAAGAGGGAAGCTGCCCAGACAACAGACTATAAAGCTCATTAGGGTCAGCAGCAGCTTTGTGTATACAAAGAAGTGAAGCTTCTAAAATGAATGCATCCCTGAAGATGACAACTGACCAATGACCAGCCCAGTCTTCAGCTTACATATACCACCGGCCTGAACACTGCTGTTTCTGTTTGTTTTCTCCTCTCTGTGTGGTACTAAGGATTGAGATCTCAAGAGAAGTCCACCGAATAAAACTAGAAGAAATATCTATTCCAACAGATGCACAAATCACAATATAGAAATGCAAGAATTATGAAAAAGCAAGGCAATCTGAATCCTCTAGAAGCCTATAAATCTTCAATAAGTGAATTCCAAAATACTGCAATGGTTAAAATGCTGGACAAAGAATTCAAAAGTCTGGTTTCAATGACCTCAAACAAACAGATGAAAGAGGTAAGGAAGCCAATTCAAGACCTAGATGAGAATGTCAGCAAAATGGATGAGAAATTCAGTAAGGTAATTAAGATTCTAAAAAGAAAAAATGGAAATGTTGGAAATGAAAAACTCAATGAGTCAAATTTTTAAAAACACAGTGGAAAGCATAACCAATAAATTCAATCAGGCAGAAAAAAGAATATCAATAATAAAAACAAAGTCAAAGAAATGCTACATTCAGACAACAATAAAGAAAAAACAAACCAGCATGATTACAATTTCTAAGAACTCTGGGACATGATCAAGTGGGGTAGAAGGAGGGAAGTGAGATACAAGCTAAAGGCAGAGAAAACCTATTAGATAAAATTATAGCAGAAAATTTCTAAAATCTAGGAAGGATATAGACTTTGAGGGACAGGAAGTATTTGAACCCCATGTAGACATGATCAGAAAAGGACCTCTCCAAATCATATTACAGATAAAATTCCAAAAGTACAGAACAAAGAAAGAATATTGAGGAGAGTAAAAGAAGAGGTGGGGGGTGAAAATGATCAAACTGCTTCATGCACATGTATGAAAACAGAAAAATAAAACCAATTAAGTTTTTTTAAAGGGGGAAAGGAAGGATAAGAAAGTAATAGAGAGGATTATTTAATCAAAATATACCACATACATTATGGAACAATCACAATAGAACATCTTTGTAGAATTAACATACACTAATAAAAAAGAGAGAGAAAATTTAAAAGAAAAAGGTTTGAAAACAATATTAAAAAATGTTAAAGCTGCAAGAGAAAAATATTAACTTACAAAGGAAAACCCATAGGAATTATATCAGACCTCTCAGTAGAAAACCTAAAAGTCAGGAAAACATACAATGAAAGTAAATAGTTGCCAACCAAGATTACTGTATCCATCAAAGTTACCCTTTAAAATTGATGGAGAAGTAAAGATAAGCATAAAGTAAAGCAATTCAAGACCACTAAGCCAGCACTGCAGAAGTAGACTTCACATCAAAATTAATCACAAGAGATAAGAAAGACACTGTATATTAATAAATGGAATAACCCATCAAGAAGGCATAACAATTGTAAATTTATATGCACCAAACATGAGGACAAACAATTTGATTTAAAAATCACTATGATATTTAGGGACACATAGGTTCAGATACAATAATACTGAGTGACTTCAATTACCCAATGTCACTCATAAAATGAAATGAAGAATTGATTCTTTGAAAAGATAAGCGAAACTGACAAACCCTTAACCAAACTATCTAAAACCAAGAGAGAAAAGACTCAAATTAATAAAATTAGAGATAAGAAGGGATTTTACAAAGATATCAATGAAATTCAGAGGATTATAAGGATTTTATTTGAAAACTTGTAGCCCAGTAAACCTCAATAAGTCTAGAAGAAATGGCCTTGTAGATACAAATGACCTATCAACCCAGAAGCAGGGGCGGGGGGAGGTGCCCAAACAATGTATACACATGTGAGTAAATGCAAAAACAATAAAATTTTTTTAACTGACTTATCAAAACTTAACCAAGAGGACATAAACAACCTAAACAGATGTATAACAAGCAGTGAGATTGAAGCAGTAATAAATAAAAGCTCAGGACTAAATGCATTTACTGCTGAAATCTACCAGACCTATAAAGAAGAACTAAAACCAATAGTCCCCAAATTACTCCATAGAAAGGGAAGGAATGCTGCCAAACACATTGTAGGAAGTCAGCATTACCTCAATATCAAAATAGGATAGGGACATGACAAAAAAGAAAGATAACTGTAGACCAATTTCCTTGGTGAACATTAATATTCAAAAATATTAATAAATAATAATAAATAAATATAAATAATTCAAAAATTCTGAATAAAATACTGTAAACCAAAAAACAACATGCCATGATTAAGTGTGATTCATTCTAGGGATAGAAGCATGGTTCAACATGTGCATATAAGCATAAGTAGACAGCACATAAACAGAATCAAGGACCAAAAAAATCCCAGGATTATCTCAATAGATGCAGAAAAATCTTTGACAATATGCAACATCTGATCATGATAAAATCTTAAAATAAGTAGGAATAGAACAAATGTACCTCTACAAAACAAAGGCTATACACAACAAACCTATAGCCAACATCGTACTAAACAGAAGAAAACTGAAAGCATTTCTTCTAAAACCAGGAATGAAATGAGGATGTTCACACTCTAAACTTATTCAATACAATGTTTAACTACCTAGCAAAAGCAGTAAAACAAGAGAAAAAGTAAAGGGATATAGGTAAGAAGGGAAGAAGTCAAATTATCCCTAATTGCATATAATATGATCTTATACTTAAAAGACCCTAAAAACTCCACCGGAAAACTCTTACATATGATAAGCATTTTCAGCAAAATAAACAGGATACAAAATAATACAAAAATCTCCATACCAATAATGAACATTCTGAGAAAAAAAATCAGAAAAACAAACCTATTCACAATAGTCTGAATAAAATAAAATAATACAAAATACCTAGGCATAAACTTACCTAAGGAAGTGAAAGACTCCTACAATGAAAATGATAACATGATGAAAAAAGAAATTAAAGAAGACACTGGATGATGAAAAAACCTCTGTATTTATCAAAGCAAACTTAATAATAAAATGGCAATATTACCTAAGATGGTCTATAGACTCAATACAATCCTCATCAAAATCACAATGACATTCTTCACAGAAATGGAAAAAAAATCAATCCTAAAATTCATATGGAATCACAAAAGACCCTCAACAACCAAAGCAATCCTGAGCAAAAGGAGCAATGCTGGAGGTATCACAATATCTAACTTCAAATTATACTACAGAGCCACGGTAACAAAAACAACATGGTACTGGCACAAAAACATATACATAGACCAATGGAATAGAAAAAAAGATAAAGAAATAAGCCCATGCAGCTATAGTCATCAAGTTGTTGACAAATATGCCAAAAACACATGTTGGAAAAAAGAGAGTCTCTTCAATAAATGGTGCTAAGAAAACTAGAAATCCAATGAAGAAAAGTGAAACTAGCTCTCTATCTCCAGTGGGTACAAAACCAATTCAAAATGGGTAAGACCTTCATATAAGACCTCAAATTTTGAAACTACTATGAGAAAACACTTCAAAATATAGGCACAGGTAACAATTTCTAAACAGGGCTCCAACAGCTCAGGAAATAAGAGCACGAATTTTAAAAATAAGATGGCATCAAATTTAAAAGATTCTGTACAGCAAAGGAAAGATTATCAGAGTGAAGAAATAAGTCAAAGAATGGGAGAAAAATCTTTGCCAGCTATTCATTCATCTGACAAGGAATTAGTATCCAGTATATATAAAGTGTTCAAAAAAATTAAACACCAAGAGAACAAATAATATCATTAATAAATGGGCACATGATCTAAACAGACAGCTCTCAAAAGGAAAAGAACAAATAGTCAATAAGTACATAAAGAAGTGTTCAACATTCTTAGCCATAAAAAAATGCAAATCAAAATGACATTGAGGTCCCAAAATCTCACCCATGTCAGAATTGGCAATCATCAAGAAAACACACAATAAATGCTAGTGAGGATGTGGGGGGAAAAAAACCCTCGCATACTGCTGGTTGGAATGTAAATTAGTGCAGCCACTAGGGGAAATCAGTATGGAGGATCTTCAGAAAATTTAAAATAGAAATACCACATGATCTTGAGATATCACTCTTTGTCATACACCCAAAGGAATGTAAGTCAGCACACAATAGAAATAAAACATATTCGTGTTTATTGCAACACTATTCACAATAGCCAAGTTGTGGTGCCAGCCTAGGTGCCCAACAAATGATAAGTGAGTAAAGGAAATGTGGTACTTATAAACACAATGGAGTATTGTTTCCATAAAGAAAAATAAAATTGTGTCTTTTGCAGATAAAAGGATGGAACTGGAGATCATTAAAAGAAGTGGAATAAGCCAGACTCAGAAAGACAAGTATCATGTTTTCTTTCATATGCAGAATAAAGATCTTCAAATAAAAGACATGAGCATAAAAGGGGGACTGCTGGCCAGAAGGAGAGTGGAAGGAGGAAGCCAGGAGGAGGAGAACAGGGGAAAGAGAGCATGGGGGTGAATATGATTCAAGTTCATTGCATATGTTATGAACATGCCATAATAAAACCTATTTTAATAAAAATTTTAAGGTGAAAAGAGGAAGGAAAGATAAGAAAGAATAATAAAGGGTGTGAATATAACCAAAGTACATTATATGCATTTTGGAAATGTCATAATGAAACCCCTCACTTTACATAATGAACATATATATGCTAATAAAAAAGAAAAAGAAAAAATATAGTACTGAGGAAAAAGGTTAAAAAACCAGAAAAAAAATCAGATGTCACAAGTACTAACCCTTGATGATTCCGTGTTCCAAAATATCGCTGACTTCTTCGTGAAAATGAGTTCAAATTTAGATGCTCTGAATTTATATTCTCCAACCTTCACAAAGGCAATTTCTCCATTATCATCTAATTGCCAATTTAGAAGATCGTAGTATCCTTGTTTCAAATCTCCATTTTCATCAAGCTCCATTTTCTCTCCATCATGTGTAGTAAACTTAACTGTCTTTAGATAGAAAGAGAGCTAGAAATCAAGTGGAATGAATAGGAGAGAAAAGCAATTTGTAAAAATTCAGTTGTCTATAAAACAGAGCTTTATTAAGAAAATAATTTCAAACTCATATCTAATTCACAGAATTGCATTTTTCCCCTTTCTCTGACTTTGCTGTTAGAATAACAGCTTCTAGCTGCATATGTCAACTCAAACTTGAAAAGTGGTTTGCCAAATTGAGAAGTGCTTCATGTAAAATGCACAGTGGATTAAAAAGACCAAGTTCAAAGAAAAACAATGCTAACTAACAAATTAATTTCATGTTATGATTTTACAATTATAATTAATATAATCACATATATGTAACCAAAGTATAACATAATTATAACCAAAGTGGCTCTCAATAATTTTGGAATAATACTCATAGAAGAGAAGTAAATACGCATTCATCATATATAGAGATATACAGATATCTACATATCACATTTCCAATAGTGGGAGTGTTAGAGGAGAATAGGGGAGGAGGGAAAGAAGAATAAAGTGAATAATATTGAAATGCATTGCATCTGTTCAGGAACAAGACAGTGGAAAACACTGAAAACTGCTGAACAGTAATGGGGGGAAATGGTAAGGAAGAATAACACAGAGGGTTAGACTGATTCAAGTACAATATCTTTTCAGGGAAAATACCAAGTCAAAACCTACTAAACCATGAACAGACATTTAAACGAGGAAGGACAGGAACATAGAACGGGTCACGGAAGGGGAGCGCACTAGCATGAGGAGTAGGGTAAATGGAGAGGGCAAAGCAGGGTGAATACGGTTGATGTATTTTCTACGCATGTATCGATAAGGAAGATGAAACTTACAGAAGTCATTTTAAGAAGAGGGTAGGGGAAGAGGGGATGAACCAAACCAGGGTACAATGTATGTATATATGGAAGTGTCACAACAAAACCCCTGGTACAACTACTATAAAATAATAAAAACATTTTAAAAAGAGAAATAAACATGTATGAGTCCATATTGACATAAACAAATCACTAGATAAAATTCTAGCTAATAAATGTAGAAGGAGTGAGTTAAACAGAAAATCATCATGTGGTATCTATACACAATGGAATTTTATGCAGCCATGAAGAAGAACGAAATGTTATCATTCGCTGGTAAATGGATGGAATTGGAGAACATCATTCTGAGTGAGGTTAGCCTGGCCCAAAAGACCAAAAATCGTATGTTCTCCCTCATATGTGGACATTAGATCAAGGGCAAACACAACAAGGGGATTGGACTATGAGCACATGATAAAAGCGAGAGCACACAAGGGAGGGGTGAGGATAGGTAAGACACCTAAAAAACTAGCTAGCATTTGTTGCCCTTAACGCAGAGAAACTAAAGCAGATACCTTAAAGCAACTGAGGCCAATAGGAAAAGGGGAACAGGTACTAGAGAAAAGGTTAGATCAAAAAGAATTAACCTAGAAGGTAACACCCACGCACAGGAAATCAATGTGAGTCAATGCCCTGTATAGCTATCCTTATCTCAACCAGCAAAAACCCTTGTTCCTTCCTATTATTGCTTATACTCTCTCTACAACAAAATTAGAAATAAGGGCAAAATAGTTTCTGCTGGGTATTGAGGGGGGGGGAGAGGGAGGGGGCGCGGAGTGGGTGGTAAGGGAGGGGGTGGGGGCAGGGGGGAGAAATGAACCAAGCCTTGTATGCACATATGAATAATAAAAGAAAAATGAAAAAAAAAAACAAAAAAAAGAAAATCATCATATTTCCAAGGCATGGTAGTAGGTTTTAAGACAAGAATAATTATCAATGAGTGATAAAAATGGTTAGTAAAAGTATAATGAAACAGGCAGGGCATTTTCAGACCCCCAAATATTATCCTACAAGATAATTATGAATTCCAAAGGGAAACATAGAACTTCACCATGGAAAAACTGGTGACATCACTGTAATTATGGGAAGATTTTATTTTTAGAGGATGTTAAATTGGAATATTGTAGATATAGATATATATAGATACAGATACAGGTATAGATGTAGATATAGATATAGATAACTCCTTTGGGGCTTACAGTGCCAGACCAGGAATGCTCATCCTGTGTCCTTTAGAGGAAAGAGGGAAGGTGCTCAAGGAAATAAGTAAAGAACCCTTCAGTTAAGTGTGCATCTTGGGGAGCCCACTTAGGCTGCAATGTCCCAGCAGGAGTTTTTCAACATCAGACTAGTGAGAGGGGATGCAGAAGTCAAGCTCCAAGATCGACCCCATAATCCTCACCTCCTGGCAATCATGCCCTCATATGGTCCCTCCCACACTTCAGAAAGATTACATCTTCCAGGGTCCCTTGGAGTTAGATGAGACCATGTGACTAAAAGTTGGTTGGTGGAATGTAAGGAGAGTTGCATGTAATTTCCAGGAACGATCATTAAGTGAAGGCGTTACAGGTCTTTGTCCTTATTCCTAACTGCTGGTTAAAACATGGACATGATGTTTGAAGCCAAAGTAACCATTCTAGGTTCTGTGGTGAAGCCCCATACTGTGGATGGCAAAGTTACAACATAGAAGAAACTTTGGCCCATAAACTACTCTTTCAGTCATAAAATGCTTACTTCTGAATTTCATTTATGTGAAGAAAAAAACTGTCTTGAGTAAGGCACTATTTTCAGGGGGGTTCATCACTCACAACAAACCTGATGATCATTCTGTTAAGAGATGGGAACCTCCTGGGGTACAATATATGTATATGTGAAAATGCCACAACAAAACCCCCCGTATAACTATCATATACAATTACAAACATTTTTTTAAAAAGAAAGAAATGGTAACTTAAAATGACACATAATCAAATCATTACTTTAGGTGTTTATGCAATGAAATAATCTACTATGTACAGAGGCAAAGGAGTAGTTTTAACAGCATGAATCCTTATAATTTCAAACCATATCATGAGGTAAACAACTTACCTGCCAGGGTTCAAATGTAGGTATATATGCACATGAGTGGGCTGGAAGAAATGGCCCCTCTCCTTCTTCACATCTGGTCAGATGATCCAGGGCATGCACCAAGGCATACACAGCTTGTCTGACGTTATTGGTAATTCTTAGCTGAGACACATCCAGATAGGTATTGTTAAGATCTTCCAGCTTCTCCTCTCCAGTGCACATCTGATCAGACATGGCACTCAATCTGTCTTCTTTACCAGTCATATTCACCCTGTGGTCAATGTTGTATGGAACACTGCTATTGGGCCAAGTGCAGTTAAAAGCAGTTTGCCAGAATTCAATGGTCAGAACATCATTTGGATCCTTGCTAGGGGGTGGACATCATAAAGGAATTCTTTTAGTCCTGGTATATCATGTCTTGGTATTGCAAATCCAATACTTCCACCAAAATATGGGAAATACTCAGGCTTTGCAATGAGGGCGGAAGTAATCCATGCTTCACTAGCGATCCATCTTCTGTCAGTTATGTTATGATAAGCCATTTCCATCACAAAAGGACTGGGGTCATGTTCAGATGCATAGACTATAATGACTTTGGCAGTGGAGCTCTTTATAGCATTAACAGCTTTTTGCATTTTCTCATTGGAATAGACTTTGGGAATGATTTCAGAGAATGCAATGCAAAGGTTGGCATTTTCCAATTTTTCCTTAAAAACTTTTACTCCATATTTTCCATAATCATCGTCAGCTGCAATTGTGCCTACCCAGACCCAACCAAAGTGTTGGATAAGTTTCACCATGGCCTGGGACTGTTTGGTATCGCTGGCAGTTGTACGAAAATAAGATGGAAACTGGTATTTGTCGCTAAGAACTGAGCAGGTAGAAGCATACCCCATCTACAATTGAAATATTCATGCAGTTACTAGAAAGCAATAGCCAAGTCTTGAATGGCACAATTTCAGAATGTATTTAGTAAGAAGGAGGGAATGTAACACTTCTTCCTTTATTCTCCCATCATTCCTTAGGCAAAAGAACTTTCTACTCCTCTCTCTACTCACTGGATGGGGACTGTGAGAGGAATATTATATTCCTTCCTGCCAACACTTTTCCTACCCCACCTCATGTTGTTTAGGAGGGGTAATAATTAAGGTGAGAACATTCAGTGCACTGCTTTTCAAAGACAGGTTCACAGCACTGACAGGAAGGTCATCAACCCTCTCCATGTGCTCCCTCAGACAAGGTAACTTCCCTCAGTCAAGCCATCCAGCCTCCTCATCAGATCCAATACCTCATCCATACAGATGGTGGAGTGAGTGGACTCACAGCCCGAGGGTAGGCACAGTTCTCTCTCTCTCTCTCTCTTTCTCATCCTCTCTCTCTCCCTCCCTTATTCCCTCCCTCTCTCCCTCATCTTTCCCTGTCTCTTCCTCCTTCCCTCCTGCTCTCCTTCTCCATTTTTGTCCATCTTTCTCTCTTTTTGCTCTTTCCTTTTTTCCTCTGCCAGGATTTCTGAATACATAAATCTTAACTCAGCTTGAGAAAGGCTGTAGAAAGCACCACTTCAACCTCAGATAAAAGCGCAAGGCCTGGGGTTTGATTCCACCACCACCAAAAAAATAATCCAGAAATACTGTTTGATGATGCTCCCATTGTTTCAGTAACACAAAGATGCTTAATCGTCAATCACTAATCAGTTAGTAAGTCCTGATTACTAATATGTTACTAACCCATCCTTAGAAATAATTATAGAGCTTTATTTATATTTTCTTATCATCTATTCTCATGTTGAAATACACCACTCTCTCCAAATTTAAAATGACTTGTAGGGTTAGTATCCTCAATCCCATGTTGTGAAATTCCCAACCTCATTTCAGTATCATTATTGGCTGCAATTTCCAAACACAGAGTTTGCATTTCTTCACAAGTTAATACTTAGCACAGTATTCTCTGATACCTGAGGCATATAATACAGCCCTAGGACTTTTGAAGCAGCAATCGATAGGGCCGATCCACCTGATCCCACAATTCCTGCCAGATATGCTCCAGTACTGTTTCTCAAATTGGGCTTGTTTTCTTCCTGCCCTGTAAGGAACACCAATGACGACTCCATTACTTTGGAGATGGTGCAACAGGTATCAAAGATCTGATATCCCAGAGTGTGGTTGGGCAAAATATCCTTCCTCTCATTAATCTCCTTGATGGTGTGGATCATGGTTTTCATCCAGCGGAATCCCCGGAAGTTAAACCTGAAAAGGAAATCACCTTTGTTAGGCATTAGTCCTTGGGCAGGTCTTGGGAGGGAAAGGGAGCTTTTAGTTGGGGTGATAACAGCAGTTTGTTCAAACATCAACAGGCACCTCAATTGTCTCAGCATGTTGATTATTCAGCAATGATATTATAAACTTGAAAGCAAGAATCATGTTCATTGTTAGTTGGGTATCTCAGGAAGCAAAGTTTTGGATGCATTCTTGCCTTATATATGCTTTATATGCTATGATCTTTTCAAATTGCTGATTATCTCTTTTTCACAAAAATGTTGTTGTATTCATGAGTCTATTCACCAAACCAGGAACCCAATAGTCTGTCAATACATGTTTTCCTTCTTCATTAGACATCCTTGGTACCACACGATTCTCCTCTCTCTTTGTCTTGTTTTCTGAACATTTATTATAGCTATAAAAATTATGAAATGTTCTGATAGGAGTACATATGCAGTTCATTAAACTGTGTATACCATGACTTTAATTGCATAGTTTTTCCTGTGGTGATTTGATTGTTAATGTTGGGAAGTGTTTAACCGGTGGTGTCACCTTTTTTCTTTTCACAGATAACCATAAATGAGAGGTTTCAGCCACTAAAAAGGGAGAAATGTTTCTCTTGAAGTCTGTCACCACTTTTTTTTCAACTATGTCTCCATTAAACAAATAATGCTTCAATTCCCCTCTTTCTTCTTAGTTTTAAACAAACTTTAACTTATTTAAAACAAGTATCCCAAGATGACTTTCTCTCTCTCTCTTTTTTTTTTTGCAATTTGCTAGCAGTTAGTTTATTAACTGACCAGATTAGAGAAATACCATGGTAGACACCTCAGTTCATCCTTCTAAGAAGCCTGTTAATCTGGTCTTCCCTTTTTACGAAATGAGTTGTCTTTTTCTTCATACCACCTCATGGAGAAGATAATTTGAAGGACCACAGGAAATTATTTGCGTCCATGAAGCATTTTGCAACAGTACAGATCTCATGAATCAGATCCTCCTTGCAGATGATGTCAAATTTTCCAAGAGGTCAAGCAAAGACTTATCTGTCAAGGCAATTCACCTCTGACTGATTTTTCCATAACCACAATAGTAAATTAGTTTGTTTACTAACTTCAGATTTGGGTCCCCCCATGCAATATATGGTTCCATGATCCTCAGTATGTTAACTGAAGCCTTGCTGAGCTTAACAAAGGTGCCACTGAAGATCTGGCAAAGGGAAGAAGTTATAGCACCTTGCAGATCATTGGACTCAGACCATTGATACCCCTGGTACTGATGACAAATGCCAATTTGGGTTCTGCAGGTACACAGAAATTGCCAGCTTTTCTTGCCATCCTAGCCATGCGAATCTCAGTTCTGTACATCTGCTTCTATTCCTTGTGGTAGCGCTTGGCTTTTTCACAGATGAGCCTCTTCCTTGCCTTTCAAAGCATTTCTGACCAAACTTCTTTCCCAGGTGCTTTACCTTCCAGCTCTGCCAAGTTCCTTCGCTTTTTCTTAAAAAAAAGCACAGTGGGAACCTTTGTCCTAAGGGTTTTGGGCACAGTAGAAACCTTCTTTTTCTTCTCCCTCCATGGCTCCAGCCAGAAAAAAGGAAGTGAGCCCATGAGCACTACCCATGTGCTGGGCAGACTGACTTTTTCTCTTAATATCATGTATAGTTCAAGTTTTTTACCCCATGTCTTCTAGTTAATAAATATTTTTAATTAAATATCTGATACCAAATGGCTCTGTTGGCACATTAGAATTTTCCTCCATGTCTTCTTAATTGGGTTTTAGTTCAGTTTTTCATTTAGTATGCAATTATTTGGTTCCTTTGGTGCTAGATGTTATACATACAACAGTGAACAGAATTGGCACAGCACTATCAGGTAAAGAACAAAAAACTAGCCAGGCAATTACAGAATGCAATGATAAAACCAATGACAGGGAAGATGAAATACAAAGAAGGGCACCCAGCCCTGGAGCAATTAACAGTCATGCTGAGGACAAAGGATGACATATGACAGAGGAAGGAGACTACAGGCAGGGAACACCTTGTGTAAAGACATCACAGCAGGAGAACATCTTAACATGCAAGAAATGGAAAGAGTTATGTTTGGAGGAGACAGGGTGGGAGTGGGTGCTGCACAGTTGCAGAAGGTACCAGAACACAAAGCCTTAATCATCCTAAGATTCTCGGTTTACAAATTTACTATGTGGGCAATATAATTTCCAAAATAAATATTGCAATATTTCTTTAAAAGTAATATAACAATATATTTCAACAGCTGGAAATATAGTCACATGCTTTGAACCAGTAATTCCACTCTGAGAACTTAAAGAAATAGTTCTTCTCAAAGGAAGAAGCTATCCTGTCCTGTTCATGACAGAATTATTCTAATATTGAAAAACTGAAAGAAATTTACATGTGCAGTAATAGCACATTGAATGGAAATATTTTCCACCATTAAAAACTATAATTTGGGCACATGCTGAGGTTCATGCGTGTAGCTGGGAAGCTACTCGCAGCACTGGGTGGGAGGACACAGTTGGGGAGGACTGTGGTATGAGACCAGTCAGGGCAAAAGGTAAGTAAGGTCCCATTTCAATCAATAATCCAACATGGTGTCACACAACCTGTGATCTGAGTTACACAGATCATAGATAATAGGTAAAAAAATCACTGTTCTCAAGCAAAAACAAGAAACCCTACCTGAAAAATAACTAAAACAAAACAGAGCTGGGTGCATGGCTCAGGTGGTAGAACACAGGACTAGCAACCTCAGGTCCCTAAGTTCAAACCCCATTACTGCCCTCCCCAAAAAAAAGTGTAATTATAGGGAGAGGAGGATAAATGGAGAGGAGAAAGAAGGCTAACATGGTAAATGAACTTGTACATGTGAATAAAATTGAGCAATGAAATAATATAAATTGTATAGCAGTATGAACATAATATTAACTAAAGCAGGCAGTATGCAAAGTTGTTTCTATGATTACAGCCACACACGAACTATATGAACATTCGAATAAGGATTAACAGGAAACTTTAAGTTCTTAATAAGCACAGGATAATAACTGGCAGAATTTGGTATGGCTTTTCTTTCATTTATTTCATTATGGTATTTATATAGACCCTTTTTAGTACTCAAAAAAAATCTCTAAATCTTACCTTTGTGTGTATCAACCAAACACCAACCAATACTTCCTTCCTTATTCCTCTTCATTGACTTCCTTTATTCTGAGCAAAATTTCAAAATAATAGAAAGTCTTCCTATTCTATGTACTTTAACTGATGACTGGCTGAAAGTAGTATCTTATTACAATAGTGGATTTCAGAATGAAATTTCTCCAAATTAAATTTGCACTTCTGAACCAGTTATAGATAAAGATTAAAGATGCCAAAATGAAATTATTAGACTTGAGTACCAACTAGATGAGGCCTCCCATGACGACTCTCCCATTGGATAGATAAGTTGCATTATATGGAGGAATATTAAGAGGCTTGAAGAACACTGGGGTTGGGTACATAGAGGAGGAATTGTGGACTGTTATTGATGAAAATCATTCATACAGGTCAAATTCTGAAGAAATACATTTGAAAAATTTATAAAGCCAAATAGTATCCACTCATTTTCTAATTAATTGATTGGGCAAATCCCAAAATAACCCTGATAAAGGAATTAATTTTTAAATATGGTGTTCTATCTCTCATCACTGTTCAGCCATAGTGAATATGACAAGTTATTTTTACCGGGACAAAGAATTTATGCTTAAAATATGCACATTAGTTTTTCCGTCTCACTTTGCTTGGAAAATAACCTTCAGAAGTTCCAATGAAGAAAGAGGAACAAATTACATAACTCCGTTTATGAAAAATAGACTGCTACATTATGATACTCTCTACGTTTTCATTTTATGTTATTAAGGACTGAAGAAATGGAAAATTCTGTGATAAATAATGAACTGATTCTACAATAATGTTGCTTTAAGAGAAAGCCCTTCTCCACCTCCTTCCCTTTGCTTTACTCTAAGAATATAAAATAATTAGAAGGTCCACGAAAGAGATAAGTAAGAGCTTATTCAAATCCTTTCCTTTGGTCAAAAAAGAAAGTTGATTCCTCCATTTAAAGACATCTCAGATATGGAGCATGAAATATGATCAAAGGAATGGAGTTGTGATCAGTAAAGAGTTTCTTTTGTGGTGTGGGGATATAATCCAGAGCCTGGTGCATATTAGGCATCTATTCTACAACTTTGTCATGTCTCCAGTCCTCGGCAAAGATTTATTGGTGTAAGAAGCTTCTAAAATGTTTACAATATGCATTTACAATGACCATGCAGCATTGTGGAAGTGCTTCTATGTAAAGTACAATTCCAGTATAAATGTCTATTTTTGCTGTGGTCACAACTATTTAAAAGTTATAGATCCATTTGAAAAGGGGCCAATAAAGAATACAAAAAATGCAAAGAGTTACTTCATGATGGCAATAGAATACTGCATGATTTTTTCACTTTCTTTTCATTTGTGGCATTCTTTTAACATATAAAGAAATTGTGTGTGTGTGTGTGGTGTGTGTGTGTGTGTGTGTGTGTGTGTGTGTTGCCCATCATCTATCTTAACTGATCTTTCCTTTCTGATGAATTACTAGCAAATTCAGATTGTAAATCATGGATTCCATTTCCTGACATGACACTTTGGGGTGAGAACAGTAGGTGCAGAGACTTCTGGCAGCTGAAGGAATCTTGCCATGAGCATTAGCTGAGAAATAAATCAGTGTTCTCATCCTGAACATTTTCACTGGAGGACCTTGAGACATTAACAATAGACAATAAAGCTGCAACACTAATCATCCTTCATCTGTGCTTCCAAACCTTATCGTGTACATGGACCAACAGGAGGTCTTGTCAAAACATGGAATCTGCTTCAGCATATCTGGGATGCAGCCCCTGATTCTGCCTGTGTAACTGGCTCTCAGGAGAGGCTGACACTGTGAGTCACAGACATCGCCTCTGGAAAAATGTCCTACACCATACAAGCCACCCTTTTCTGCATCTGAAATGTAGAAGTAGGAAAAGACCCACATGACACCAAGTTTATCTGTTTCCTAATCAACCCTAGAATGTCCACATTGGATAAACTGAGGCCTTGAAACATGGAGTCCCTATCCTGAATCAGGCTACAGTTTTGGACTCCCTATGCTCACCACTCCTCCCCCATCGCCTGCAATTGATGCAAAAGAAGACTTAAAAAGTGACTTACCCCTCACATTTGGCTGACACTGGCTCCAAAACAGACTCATTTACTGGGATGGTTCTGGAGTGAATAGGAAACAGTCCCCCAATAACAACGGAGTGGTTTTTGGCCTCTACATAGCCATTCAAATCAAACTTGCCCATCAATCTGCAGGTCACTTTCTCTTTCTTTTCTTTGCCTTCAGTGTCCAATATAGCCCATAAAAGTGCCAGAAATCCTAGAACCAAGTGTTTCTTTGTTCTGGCCATTGCAATAAGGTGAGTTTGAGAAAATGACTAGTGTTGAATTACATTTTAATGAGGCACCAAGATGGAGCATAACTCAGTGTGTGTGTGTGTCTGTCTGTCTGTGTGTGTGTCTGTGTATGTGTGTGTACACCTCATCCCAGTGGACTGGCCTGCTGCTACTTGTTACATAATTGTCATGTCTCAATCACTCACAGCACTTCACAACCACATGCGATTTATGCATTTGGACTAGAAGCTGAGTAATCCTTTTGAGAAGAGCCTCCTAAAGATCTTTTTTATGCTTAGTGATAATGTATAGTGATGTAACAGAGGGTTTTCAACTTAAGAGTCATTTTACTTTGTAGGAAACTGTCCCTTTATTGTTTGTAATCATCAGCTTCCTCATTCATTCTCATGTCAGTCACTCTGCAGGAGCTTCTCTTGCCCCGCAGGTGAGAAAAGGCATCCTACTTCCTCACAAAGTGCCAAAATAGGTCAGGCTGATGGAGTGGCTCAAATTGTAGAGTTCCTATCTAGCAAGTGTGAGGTCTTGAGTTCAATCCCCACTGCCACCATAAATAAATAAATAACAAAGTACCAAAAGAGGTGACATCAGGCCCAGCTTTTTCTTTAAGGGTATAGAAAAAGTTAAGTGTCAATCCATGAGATTTGGGTAGAAGATGTCATTATGAATCTATGTTCTGCCATTTTCATTAGCATAGTAGTAAGAAAGTCACTTTCTGTGCCTCAGTTTTCTGATCTGTAACTAGAATGATACCAAGCTACCTTAGGAAGTTCTGTAAAGCCAGTAAGAGTTCAATGAACGTTCTTCATGTGCATCGTTTTCTTCCACCTGCACTTCCAGAAGAGGTACTACTCTCAACTCACTCCAACTTTCAGGCTCATGCACCTGGGTTTTTCCCTGAAAATCTCTACTCTTTCCTTTCCCTTTGCTTCCCTTCCCTTCCCTTTCCAGAGTCTTGTGCCTGCTAGGCAAGCATCACTACTGAGCCCCACCTCACCCCCAGTCATCTCTCTTCCTTTTCTAGCTAGGCCTTGCTCAGAGGCATCCCCAAATCTCCTTCTCCTCATCAATTTACCATGTTTCCCAATCTCTAAGTATTTCTGTCTGCTTATTCACAAATATTTCCCCTTTTGCAATGACATGAATGGAAGGAGGTAGACTAGAGGGCCAAGAGGGCAAAAGGAGAGGGTGATGGTTGTGAATATGACTTAAGTACTTTATATGCTTGAGTGAAAATAGAATAATGAAATACAATAAAATTGTAAAACAAAAAAGGGGGAATAAGAAAGAGTAATAGTGGAATGAATTTAATCAAAGACATTATATGCATGTATGAACATGTCACAGTGAAACCCCTTTGTGCAGTTAATATACACTAACTTAAAAACATGAAAAAATCACCAAGCACTGGTGGTCTTGCCTATAATCCTGTCTACTTGGGAGGCTGAGATCAGAAGGATCACAGTTTGAGGACAGTCCAAGCAAATAGTTCACAACACCCCATCTCCAAAATAACCAGAGCACAAAAGAGTGGAGATGTGACTCAAGAGGTAGAGTGCCCTGCTTTGCAAGAGCAAAACCCTGAATTCAAACCCAGTCCCACCAAATCAAGTAGCTAGATGATGATGATAGATAGATAGATAGATACAGAGAGAGAGAGAGAAAGAGATAGCAAAAACCTCAGGAAAAAGAAGAATGTGTAGACCCTTTCATCATGAGATTTTATTACAAAATATTTATCTTAAAAAAGCAATAGAGATCCACACAAGCTTGATGTGTAAGGGTAGTGAGTAGTTTTATTTATGATAATAAAAAATAAACTAAACAAACACAATAGAGAATTTTAAAAATCAATTATAATCTAGTCACAGGATAGAATGCAGAGCCACTGAAATCATGTCCTAGAAAAACAATTTACTCACAAGAAAAAAGCTGACAATATGCTTAAAATGAAAATAACAGTTAATATAAGTCTGCATATAAGATTTCATTCTAAATTTCTAAAACTTACCAATAATTTATACCTTTCTCTCACCTATATTTTCATTAAAAGATGAAAAGAAGCCACTGCAGACCTGAAATCAAAAGAAGGAAAAAATCTTCTTTCCTACACTTCAATGAACACTCATTTTCATGTTCCCATGTTCAGTTCCAGCTCAGTCAACACACATTCCACACTGCTTGATGTTGTACCATGTATAGTCTGTATACTTTTCTATATTTTCCCACATATTCAACAATTTCTTATATTTCTTTTACAAGTAAAAAAATACTACTAAAGAGGAAAATTTTTCCTTTTTTTACAAGTCCTCCATATATACTCATTGAACTAAAATCCTCCAACAAACATACACACACACATGCACACAAACTTTTGCCACCATGATATCATTACCAGTCACTTGGACTATAACTCACTGTCCATGTGAAGATCACTTCCTTTACTCATTCCCACTGAATGATTTCTCATTTATTAGTTAAATGTTATCCACCACGGGGTGTGGCTCAAGTGTTAAAGAACCTGCCTAGCAAGCACAATGTCTTGAGTTGAAGCCCCAGTGCTGCCAAAAAATAAGAATGAAAAGATACAAATACATATAAACTTCTCCTGACCCTGGGACATCCCAAAAGACAGTCTCATACTCCTAGTTTACTGGTGAAATCCTGAGCCCATGCCTGTCCTTCCACAGCAGGCTCTGTTTTCACAAGAGAGCTCACAGATGACATAATCCTGGCCCTAACCAAGGGACGTCTAAATCAGTCAAATGACTCATTAGGCTTCATTTTCTAAAGTGTGAATGGCTCACAGTTTTCCCTCTCATGCTTTCAAAATGTTCCTGACAATAATTAAGACAGAATTTCAGGGAATCTTTCCCTAGATGTACTTCAGAGTTTGGCTTCGTCCAAACAAAATGGTGTGCATACTGGGCAACAGACTGCTCTCAATAACAGCTTGAGAATCCCTTCCTTGAGCAGAAGGGTTTAGTTCATGGCCTGTCTCAGTACTATTTGGAACAGTTCCTCACTCATTTTTGATCTCTCTTTTGTACCAAAAGGCAGCTGTTTCTGAGTGTTTACCCCTCGTATTGCCAAGGTTACCCATTGGTAAAGGTGTGTTAATCACCCAAGCTGATTTGTCTTAATCCCCCAAGTAAACACTGTGGTAGGGACCATAAAAAAATCATTAACATGAATTATGTTAAGTTATATTATTAATTAAAAACTAACATTTTACACTCGACAAAGTGTTTTCTCATACCTCATCCTTCTTCTAGGTCAGGAACTACATTCAGTGTTGATGAGTCTCCTGACCTATGTAGCACCATCTGGTATTCTCTGTGTATTTGTCAGAATAATAGTCAATTTTACCAGGGCTGCAGTGATTGATTGCATCCTCCAAATGTCACAGAACTCATCAAAGATAAGGCAAAAAATAGGGAAAACAATGTAGTGCTCACAAAGGGTTTTTATGGAATGCAAAATAATGACCACTCAACAGCTCATTTTGCCCCATTAATACGGTTTTTGTTTTGTTCACCACACAAGTGAAGGAACATGAGATCACACAGCCACTACATGCTAAAGTGCAGACAACAAAGCCCATGTTCTCTCTTAGACCTTGTAGAGAAAAAGAACATAGACCAAGTCAAGGAAGATGGATCCAGATCCAGATTCTTCACTGTCTGCCCTTTCTTCCTCTCTTGGGTCTCAGACCCCTCATCACCAAACAAGCCACTTTACACTCTGCAGCCTTTTCTCAGAATCTGAAGTCCGAATGGATGAGTAACGCTATGGTTCTGGATGAGACTTTAAAGGCTTAAGTTCCACGACAGCTCAATAACATCCTGCCAGACCAAGCGGCAGCAACTTGTGTTGTCATCTAGCAAGGTGAGATTTTTCTTTGACAATACTTTGAACTTAATTACCATTTCCACAGAACTCTGACTTCAAGAACTCCAAATTCAGGCAAAAGACATAGTTGAATGTTCCAGCAAGTAGCCATGGGCATTTAATCCCATGTGACCACACCCAGACTCCTGGGTCTGAGATGGTGTGTTTACCATTCTCCCAGCTGTGTTTGAGGGTAACGGTTCTCTAAGGGCCCTGGCGAAGGTCACTATCTCCCAGGAACAGTAATGTGTTTTGTCCAGGCTTGTCTTTGCCTTCAAGCAAACACCTGAGCTCATAAAGTTTCTGAGAACCATCTTATCAACCAATGCTAAGAGCATTTAAAGGCTGTCATTTGGTTTCCAGGAGAAGCTCACATTCCCAGTCTACTGCACATGAACCTGGTGTGTACTCCTGAGTAGCCCAAGCATGATGGTCATCGTGGTGATCTCAGATTACAATCCTTTGGTCTGGCAGAGCTTGTCAGATATTGCCTGGCTTTTATATTTCTCAATGTCATTCTTTTAGCTTTATAATCATTTGGAGTCCTTGGTAATGTTCATGCCAAGCCAGGAGACAAATGGACACACGAATCACCTTCATCTTCTCATTTCCTATGTAGAACTGTGCTCTAAACAGTAGAGAAATGAACACAACTCCTCAGCATGTGTGCTTAAATTTCTGTTTTTACTTAGGAAATGTATACTATTTCTACTAATGTACAGCTCCAGCAATTAAAAATCACTACCTGTAATTTGTATGTTGTGACATTATGACATATGACTTATGTGTATCTTGATAGTGAGAAGGAAGAATAAAATAATCAATTTACATAGATGTATTGTTATGAGGTACAAGTAATTGATGAGAGGCCATAAGGTGCTTAAGAAGTAGTCTTGTGCATTTTTCTTACTTCAGTGTTAACCACTTATTAGAGGAGATCCCCTGTGGATCTGAATAGTGAAAGCCCTCATCTATAGTCAAGGGAAAAGGCTCTCAGATGCTATAGGCATAAAAATTTTTTAAACTGCTGCCTTGATGAATTGGGAAAACCACAGGTTGCTACTGTTCTGCTACATCTATTTTTAAAGGAAGAATTTGGCAGTTT